CTCTCTAACTACTGTATACATTACTGTCCTGTCGTCTCTAACTGCTGTATACATTACTCTCCTATCACCTCTCTAACTACTGTATACATTACTGTCCTGTCGTCTCTAACTAAAGTATGCATTACTGTCCTATCGTCTCTCTAACTACTGTATATATTACAGTCCTAGCGTCTGTCTAACTTAAGTATACATTACTGTCCTATCGTCTCTCTAACTACTGTATACATTACTGTCCTATCGTCTCTAACTACTGTATACATTACTGTCCTATCGTCTCTCTAACTAAAGTATATATAACTGTCCTATCATCTCTCTTACTACTGTATACATTACTGTCCTATCATCTGTCTAACGAAAGTATACATTACTGTCCTATCGTCTCTCTAACTACTGTATACATTACTGTCCTATCGTCTCTAACTACTGTATACATTACTGTCCTATCGTCTCTCTAACTAAAGTATACATTACTGTCATATCGTCCCTCTAGCTACTGTATACATTACTGTCCTATCGTCTCTAACTACTGTATATATTACTGTCCTATCGTCTCTCTAGCTACTGTATACATTACTGTCCTATCCTCTCTAACTACTGTATACATTACTGTCCTATCATCTCTCTTACTACTGTATACATTACTGTCCTATCGTCTGTCTAACGAAAGTATACATTACTGTCCTATCATCTCTCTAAATACTGTATACATTACTGTCCTATCCTCTCTAACTGCTGTATACATTACTGTAATATCGTCTCTCTAACTACTGTATACATTACTATCCTATCGTCTCTCTATCTAAAGTATACATTACTGTCCTATCGTCTCTCTAACTAAAGTATACATTACTGTCCTATTATCTCTCTTACTACTGTTTACATTACTGTCCTATCATCTGTCTAACTAAAGTATACATTACTGTCCTATCGTCTCTCTAGCTACTGTATACATTACTGTCCTATCGTCTCTAACTACTGTAAACATTACTGTCCTATTATCTAACTACTGTATACATTACTGTCCTATCGTCTCTAACTACTGTATATATTACTGTCCTATCGTCTCTCTAACTACTGTATACATTACTGTCCTATCCTCTCTAACTACTGTATACATTACTGTCCTATCGTCTCTCTTACTACTGTATACATTACTATCCTATCGTCTGTCTAACTAAAGTATACATTACTGTCCTATCGTCTCTCTAACTACTGTATACATTACTGTCCTATCCTCTCTAACTACTGTATACATTACTGTCCTATCGTCTCTCTTACTACTGTATACATTACTATCCTATCGTCTGTCTAACTAAAGTATACATTACTGTCCTATCGTCTCTCTAACTACTGTATACATTACTGTCCTATCCTCTCTAACTACTGTATACATTACTGTCCTATCGTCTCTCTAACTAAAGTATACATAACTGTCCTGTCGTCTCTAACTACTGTATACATTACTGTCCTATCATCTCTCTAACTACTGTAAACATTACTGTCCTATCATCTAACTACTGTATACATTACTGTCCTGTCATCTCTCTAACTACTGTATACATTACTGTCCTATCGTCTGTCTAACTAAAGTATACATTACTGTCCTATCGTCTCTCTAACTAAAGTATACATTACTGTCCTATCGTCTCTCTAACTAAAGTATACATTACTGTCCTATCATCTCTCTAACTACTGTATACATTACTGTCCTATCGTCTGTCTAACTAAAGTATACATTACTGTCCTATCGTCTCTCTAACTAAAGTATACATTACTGTCCTATCGTCTCTCTAACTGAAGTAAACATTACTGTCCTATCGTCTCTAACTATTGTAAACATTATTGTCCTATCGTCTCTCTAACTACTGTATACATTGCTGCCCTGTCGTCTCTAACTACTGTATACATTACTCTCCTATCATCTCTCTAACTACTGTATACATAACTGTTCTGTCATCTCTCTAACTACAGTATACATTACTGTCCTATCGTCTCTCTAACTACAGTATACATTACTGTCCTATCGTCTCTCTTACTACTGTTTACATCAATGTCCTGTCGTCTGTCTACTATTTGATTTATATACTACAAACGATTTAATTACATGCCGCCTTTACGGTACATGTAACCCTCTGTACGATATGAATTACCTGCTGTACTGTATTTATTTTTTCGAGTTCGATGATGTAACTGGTTGAGTGTCCATTTGTTGTGTGCTTTACGTCACATTGTTGTAAGACCCAGTAAATACAATATATTCGTTTTAACCCAATCAACTGTCAAAATATATCTTAAGGTGAAAACACTAGTGTAGTGATGGATCGTGTACTGGCAGTGTGTGGGTTCCGTGTAAACTGGGATGTACGTTCGGTGTTGCCAGCACTGTAGTGCAGGTGATATATCTAAATAAGCGCTACAGTGACGCAAACACCGTCTCGTTATCACTGCTATCTTCCGAGGCTTCTCGTGTAAGCCGAGAATCATTCTACATGTAGCTAGGAAGTATTGCCATCGTTACTGGTAAGCACGTCACTTTTCCATGACAAGTGCCTCTGCTATAGTCGTTAAAACAGTCGGAAGTGTACGGACACCGTCAGTCTGGTTCTGCATTTACACATGCACCACATAGACGATACACACTGCTACCGTGGTTATTCTTATTGCTTGTTCTTAGGGCAGAAGAGAAATATGTTTTTTTCATTTACATTTCTCATACCGTACATTCCTGTGCTGTCCCCTGTTAACATTGTAAAGTGGTTCCGCTCCCGTTCAGTTCACTTCCGGTGGTAAACTACACTGTATACTTCACTTGGAACTGATATGTTTCAGCATCACGCTGACGTCACAAACAAAAGTACACTACTTTGATTATGTCGTCATAATCCAAGAAGATTATGTGAGTTGACATCCCACTTAATCCTTTACAGAAGTAAGGGAAGCATCAAAAATCGTTAATGGAATTGTAAATGAATGTAACCTAATATGCAAAAGGGTGTGGACATGTTTTCCCTTTTCCCATTGAATGCGTTAATTTTCAGAAATATGAACAGCATAATAAGATACATCAACACACATAGGACACTTACCACCAAAGTTCAGATTGATAGAAGCAGAAACCTCTCCGAGTTTATTTTTAGCCACGACTTTGTAAGCTCCCGCGTCGGCTTGCGTGACTCCAATTATATCCATCATGATATTATATTTACTTCCACCGGCAGATTCCACGCGCATACGAATTCTGTCCGATTCCGGAACTGGTGTAGTTCCCTGGAACCATTGTATGCTGGGTTTCGGAGAGGCCTCCAGCGTACACTGAAACACCAGACGTTTGCCGCCATCTTCTTGTTTCAGTACCGGCTTCTGTGTAAACCGTGGTGCAATATCGTCACCAACCCCCATCTTCCCCTCTACCTGTAACAAAGTAAAAGACACGGATAAGTTAACATCATTAGCTGGCAATGGTTACACAAAATAACAATAAAAAGCTTGGTTTGAATTTGTGTCTGGGAGACGGACGATCATATCCCCTTTTCCAAAACATTTGTGACATGGCATTTACATCATTAGTTAATACAAACCAAATAGTTCCTTTTGATGTCGGACTACACCAAGTATGCGTAGTGTTATATTTTACAGAAATGACTTTCGCTATGTGGCATCACAATGTACGTACCAGCACTTTGCCCAAAACAAGGATAATCTCTGTAACGTAGGTCAAATATATAAAAACAAATCAACTTTCCGTAGGTTGTCTATACGTAACACGCTTTCTGTAGTTAATTTAACATATTATTATAGTAAGGAACGATATGTAATTCGAAGAGTATGCCAATGTCTGCCTCTCCAACCTACGTTATTTACAACAGCGAACGAAGCTCCTTACCTCCTGGAATCGTCAGGAATCTCACTATACGCACATACACGTGTAAATCTATATATAAACCAGACTAAAGGAAAGATCCATTATCAGTAATAGCTGGAGTTGGGGTATTGTTTGGTCAAACATGTAACATTAACTGGACAACCCCAGGAAAACATGTGCGGATCAGCAGGGGGACATGGTCTTCGACACTAATTGACACCCCGGGGGAGAGCTGTATGTAATTGGCTACGGTACTGATCGCTACGATACATGATACTGTGGTCACGATGCGATACGTATCACGATACACATACTAACAGTGGAAGCAACGAAAAAGTAATGTTGCAAATTGTAATAGCAATACTACAACTGAAATAGACTTGGTCAAAATGAGCAGGACTTTAAAGTTCATGTCTTTCGACGTGCATGCCGAGCTGGAGCTGTCACTCGCCATGTTTAATCCGATATGAGAAAACTAAATTCAGAAACGACGAAATCCGGAAAATATCGTGGGTGTATCGCAACCTTCAAAAACATATTGTGTATCAAAAAATATCGCGATATATCGTTGCAGCCCTACTGATAGTTGAGGTATGAGGCATGATACTTAATGTATGAAACTAGCCGATTTATCATTGTTTACCTACTGTCAGACTTTTTATACATTAAAGATTCTGTCAACCTTTGCAAACATCATAAATACTTCAACCTTTAAAATCACAATAATCCGTTGTTGTCAAAAGTAAGAACAAGAGTCCCAGGGGCCTTAGTAGCTCCTCACATGGTATGTATTTCCAATGTAAAACTTGCTGTATAGGAAGACAGTTTATTAGCAATGAAGCTCTATATGACCCATCATGTCCGACATCAACGTTTATTTGAACCACCAATTTGCAGATCTAATACATACTTTAACAGTTTCTTTCCTAGTTCTTGGTGAAATATACCTGAATGGAATTGTCATAATTTAATATCTACATGTATTACTGAATTAAAGAAAAAAAATCATCATGCCATACTCCAAAATATTGAAGATATATGTATTAAGGTGTTTTTTTTAAATATGAAGGAACTAGATCTTTTAACATAATATTATGTCAACTTCGAAATCGTGCAAGTCAATAGAACTCTTTTTAGAGACCATCTTAATGATAATCCCTCTTGTGTATGTGGCTATTTTAACGTAAATGTTAATCACTTCTTTCTGCATTGCCCAATATACATGACTCAAAGACAAAATATGTATGCATGTACCACTTACACGCGGGAAAGCGTTCGTCATTCTCAATATTTGTTGTACTTTGAAGATGCCGTACCAAAGAGTGCGGATTACCTGGTGTCCAAACCCAGCGTCCTTAGATGACCATTGGGTATGACGTTTTTGGTCTGTTAGGTGGAGACAAACAACAAGAGGCCGTGGCTCATGTGCATTGTACAGTTTTAATTGTAGACGATGTGGTATATTTTGTGTCTGTGTGGTGACGATGTGGTGTATTTATATGTATGTAGACGATGTGGTAGATTTTGTGTCCGTGTGTAGACGATGTGGTATATTCATATGTATGAAGACGATGTTGTATATTTATATGTATCAAGACGATGTTGTATATTTTGTGTCTGGGTGGTGACGATGTGGTGTATTTATATGTATGTAGACGATGTGGTAGATTTTGTGTCCGTGTGTAGACGATGTGGTATAGTTTGTGTCTGTGTGGTGACGATGTGGTATTTTATGTGTCTGTGTGTAGACGATGAGGCATATTTTGTGTCTGTGTGGTGACGATGTGGTATATTTTGAGTCTGTGTGTAGACGATGTGGGATATTTATATGAATCTGTTTGACAATTTGGTATATTTTGTGTCTGTTCTGTTTGACGATTTGGTATATTTTGTGTCTGTGTGGTGACGATGTGGTATAGTTTGTGTCTGTGTGAAGACGATGTGGTATATTTATATGTATGTAGACGATGTTGTATATTTTGTGTCTGTGTGGTGACGATGTGGTATATTTTGAGTCTGTGTGTAGACGATGTGGTATATTTATATGAATCTGTTTGACAATTTGGTATATTTTGTGTCTGTGTGGTGATGATGTGGTATTTTTTGTGTGTATGTGTTGGCACTGTTTCTTTTTACCTGTTTCAATCATTTGCACGTTAAAAACAGGGAAGAACTCATTTTTATTACGCAAGGCATCAAGAAATGGCACACGACGAGGCAGAACAACTATACTATGATTACCGCTCCTTGTTTCCAATTCTGGTTAATCAAAGTAGGCGGTTAGCTCACCACGATTCTTCAATGATATGTGATAATATACAATGTTTTTGATTTTGCTTGTTTGAGCGCAATTCGTCATGCCTTGAGCACGACGGCAATGACTACCATTCGGAACCATTAATGGTGTGTAATGTACTCCTCCCGTACACCAACACACTCTATGCCGTCATATCTTATATTCAGTACTGGGGTGTAGTTGTCCGCTAATGACCGACATCTTTTTCATGAAGTATCTAACCTTATCTTTGTAATTCTGTCGAGAAGACAGGATACTGTTGGAGTGTCGAGTGTTCCCAGGGATGGGTAAGTAGATGCCTTGCCAATGATACCCACGCTTCACTTACTCAGCATCAGCTCTTACAGCAACCGAACGGGGCATTAGTCCGCCATTAAATGAATGGACGGAAACCTGTTTGAGGATTACTTTACGTTCAATTTTGGGCACTGTTTTATCAGAGAGGTATATACTATACTATGACTTTATATGACTCTGGTTTTATCTTGTACCGTAACATTAACATCCGTGTTTCTGACCATATAATGCTCACAAATGTCTTCTTCTGTGCGTCTGATATGTGATCATAAAACACACAAGCATTTGTATTACATTATATGATCAGAAAATGTTAAAGCAATAATCTGAACAATCGCTGATCACCCATACGTTACGTGGCATCACGTACTGTAACGATTGACTGAAAAAGAACTAACGATTGTCGAAATGCATCAATACATTATAAACGTTACAGTAATGGCTAGGATGAAATACGATGTACCCATCAGTACAATATCTATCTTCTTTAAACATGAACGTGTAGTTGACGATCAACTGAAACACACACCGGTGCAACAAACAACCAAAGTCTTGGTACACGAATGCTATCAACTGACCAATCGGGAACTGTCTGCACTTTCCGTAAACGGGAAAACATTTTCTCGTTTAAGGAAAGTGCCGATGGTTCCCGATTGCTTAGAATGTTAACCAACATAAATATAAGAACAAAGACGAGTCTGATTCTTAGCGACGCTTTGATGTACACTTGTTTGCATCGCATTGTGTGCGGCTGTAAGGATGAAGAAAGCTTGCATTATTTATTTCTGCTAACCATAAAAACAACACCACTTAATGTCCGTCTACACCAATCGTTCAGGATAATAACACCATTACAGACATCTGAATATCGGTGAGCAAGAATGAGGTTTCAGCCAACAGGAAAACGTAACTACATGTATTATATTCCAAAAGTGTCTCTAAATATTATGCAAGGACACAACACATGTAGCTATTATGACCCCTTCCCGAATAAACTGTTCCGTATAATATTGCCTGTGGTATAGATCTATGTCCCAGGCCGTTATTTGGCGAGGGCATGGTACCTCCATAGAAAACACTTTAGGTAACTGTTCCGGAGGGCCCGAAAAGGGACATAATATATTTAGTAAAATATCCAACTTTTAAACTTGCAAACAATGTAACACGGCGATTAGAGAACTCTAGGAATATAATTGTATTTATCCTTCTCTGTTTACGACAATCGGCAATTAGATTAAATCCTCGGAGTCCGCAGTATCAAGTAAGCCAAACCGCTATCTCTTGCTTCGCACCAACTAATGCATCGCGAATTCAATCCGATATATGCCCATTTACATGACAAAGTATATACTAGCCACGTTTTGAATACTTATTCACATCGATTCCGCGTCACCTTCCTACGGGGCGTTCCAATTAATAGAGCTTCCCTTACATAATCAATGCAGTATCTTTTGACAATTTGGTAACTCTTTGCTCCGTAACGAAGGGGAGGGCTGGGGAAATAGTCCGGTGAGGGGGAGGGGGAAGAGCTGGGGAAACAGTCCGGTGAGGGGGATGATTCGGAAAGCAGTCAGTCGAGTGAAGGGAAAGGCTGGGAGTCATTTCGGTAAAGGGGAGGGGACAGTCAGGTGAGGGGGAGGGCTGGGGAAACGGGCTGGGGAGGGGGCGGGGGGCTGTGGAAACAAATGTTACCTCTATCCTATATGGGCCCAGTCCTCTACGATGGTCGATATCAGCCCCGTCACCTGATTAGTATTTACGTATGATGGGTTACTTGCAAGTGATATAAGTAACTGTACATAGGTGATTACTGATTAGACGGTTTGGAGTTATGTCAAACGCTTACAAAACACACGCATAGTGATACATAAGAAACACATACCCTGATGAATATCTACAGAGGAGGTGAAAGTCCTGAAGGAATCACTAAGAAACTCGTTGTGTATATATACACAC